GCTGCCTGGCAGGAGAGTACCCATTGGGGCAGTGCCCCTTTCTCCCCCCCCCCCACCCCCGACCAGCCCAGCCTCTGGAGCCAGGCTTTGGGTCAGCCCTATCCTCCGCTGTCATCCCACAGGCGGGAGACCTTTGATTTTGACGATGACTGTGACAGCCTGACGTGGGAAGAGAACGAAGACACACTGCTGCTCTGGGAGGACTTCACCAACTGCAACCCAACCATTGACCTGCAGGGCGAGGTGAGCCCCTGGCCTGGCTGCCCTCCCCTGTCCCCACTCATTCTGGCAACCCGTGCCACCCGGCTCATTGTCCCCTGTGCTCTGTGTCCCCAGCAAGAGGAAAACTTGGGCAACTTGATCCACGAGACAGAATCCTTCTTCAAGACGAGAGACAAGGAGTACCAGGAAACGATTGGCCAGATCGAGGTGAGGGCTTGGGCTCTAGAGCCCTCTGGTGAGGCTCCTGCGATGTGGGGTCTCGATTGTTAGTCAAGGGGGATGGGGTGCTGGAGGGGTGCAGCGGGCACAAGGTCGTGAGTTGGAGGCCTGCAGTTCCCTGCCTGGCACCAGGCGGGTCCTGCCCCTCCTAGGGCCTTGGTTTTCTTGGGTGTAAAATAGATCACATGGGGGTGGTGATCCCTGTCTGTCCCAGAGAGTTTTTTAAGTTACTCAATGGAGATAGTGATCCCAAACAATGAGAGAAGACATTTGAGTGACATCGAGTGACGCTAGGCACTCAGTAAGCCTCCCTGGTACCCACATGCCCTCTGTACATGCCTAGAGGTAGCTAGGCGCCTCCAGGCTGTGCAGTGGGTACCATGCACCCCATCATGCAGAGGAGGAGATGAGATTGACAGAGACCCAAGTGGCTGCCCCAAGGCCTCCAGCTGGGAAGCAGCCTTCAAGCCTGCTGTCTGCACATGTGGCCATGTTTCAGGGAGAGTGACTGCTGGAGAAAGAGAAGGCCGGCTCCTTCCCTGGGGGCTGTGTCATTGGTAGAGGACAAGGGTCAGAAACATAACGGAGACCTGAGAACTTTCCTACGCAAGTCCATAGAAAGCAGTGCGGGATGCTGAGCGGGGTGGAGTTGGTAGACCTGGCGAAGGCAGCCCCTAGGGTCGCTAAGTAGCCATTCCCCTTTCACTGGAAGCAGTTCTGGGGGTTGGGGGCTGGCATGCAGGGAGCGGAGGGCATGGCATCCTCGGGGTGGGGGGGGCTTGGCACAGTCACCACCGAGGACGTGTGGAGGAAGTGGCCGAGGGTTCTGGAATGAGAGTGACTTGGCCTCACCTCTCTCCCACCTGGGGCCTTTCAGCTGGAGCTGGCCACGGCCAAGAGCGACATGAACCGACACTTGCATGAGTACATGGAGATGTGCAGCATGAAGCGCGGGCTGGACGTGCAGATGGAGACCTGCCGCCGGCTCATCAAAGGCTCTGCAGACAGGTACCCAGTCCCGTCCTCCCTGCGGGTTCAGCGATTGCGTCCTTGGGGGGTATTTGTGGGGCTGCAACTTACAGCCTGGACCATTGCATCTGCCCAGCCCACCTGTGCACCTGTCCACCCCTCCCTCATGTACATCTAGTATTAGCTACCTGCTGTGTGCTGGATGACTTACGTGTCTGATCTCACGTAGATCTCTCGGCAGCTACTTGTCATGTCCAAGGCCTGCTCTGTGCCAGGCCGCGGGGACAGTGATGCACAGAACAGTCAAGCCCCTGCCCTGTTGGGGCTCGTGCCCCACTTTCTGCCCAGTTGTCGGGCGGAGGAGGAATGCAGCTGCTGGTGGGGCTCCTAGGGTCCGTGGGAAGCAATTTCCCTTCCTTTCCCGTCCTCCGACCAAGGGCCACTGGGTCTGTCCCCAGGAGACTGACATGCCTCAGGCCCCTTGTATTTGCCGGGGAACGCCAAAACAAAGACAGAGCCCCTGCCTTCTAGGAACGCGCAGCCTTTTGGGGGGAGAGATGTGCCAGTAATAAAATGAGATGATACATGAAAAATGCTGGGCATAAAGCACAAATATGTTCATTGTAATCGTTCCTCTTTTATGACTGTGGTTCAGGCTATAAAAGAGGGAGGGGCGGCTCAGTGGGAAGCTGCGTGGGGGGCCCTGGGCTTAGCATGTCGTCCCTTTAGCTCACTGTTGCCCCCGGAACCCATTGTCATCACGTCCACGTTCAGATGGAGGAGCAGGTTAAACAGCTTGCCCACGGCCCCCCGGCTCATCAGGGAGAGGGCCAGAATCTGAACCCAGCACTACTAGCCACTCTCCTGTATGGCCTCTCGTTGAGCTCTGAGTTAATTGGGGTTTACTGAGCACCTACCATGTGCGCAGACCTGCGTTAGGTGGTTGGAGAGTAGGACTGGAGCCTGATCCACGGCTCCTGCCCCCGGGGAGCTCTCGGCACCCGAGCAATCAGAGGCGGCACAGGGGGTCCCGAGAGGTCTTGAGGGCCACATTCAACTCATGAGCTTAGAAGGTTCTAAGGAAAGCAGAGCGAGGGCGGGGTCTCAGGGCAGGATCATGGATGATTAGATTTTATACAAGGGGCCGCTCAGTCTTTCCCGGCCCTTGCATCCCTTCAGGAGTCCCCAGGCTGCCCTCTGCATGACCCCCGTTTTCTCACGCCTTCCAGGAATTCACCGTCCCCCAGCTCCGTGGCCAGCAGTGACTCAGGAAGTACAGACGAGATCCAGGATGAGTTTGAGCGGGAGGCGGATGTGGAACCCATGGTCAGCTGATGACGGAGGCCCCCTGTGCCTGCTGGTCTTGGTGATGGGGCCTCTGCCCCCACTCCCCGTGGGTCCAGGAAGGCTCCTCGGAGTGGGGCTCCAGTCCTCACCACACAGACTCCCTCTGCCCTCCCTTCTCTGGAGGCCCCGAGGGACCGCTGCTTCCTTCCTTCCACCCCACCACCAACCAGTGCCCCTTCTCCATCCACCCACCCAAGGAATGGTGCTGTCAATTTCTATTGTTCTCCACATTACAAATGCAGACTTCTGTCCAGACGATGCAGTGTTAACTGTGCCTTTTCCCTTAAGCTGAGCCACTTTGAGCTCCAAAGAATTCTTCCTAGCAGGTGTTTTTATACAAAACTCTAAGGTGAGGGCGGGGCCCCTGGCGTGGTATAATGTGGATTTCTATCCTCCCACCTGCTCCTCTGATTGGCCATGAGCTCTGCCCTCCCCTCCTCTGCCTGGCCAGTGCCAGTTGGCCTTGGGGTGGTCCACCTTCCCACCCGCCAGGAAGGAGCTGTTTGCCTTTGCAACCTTTCCAGGCCTGGGTGGGGGCCTCCCAAGTGTTTTTACTTACTGACAAGAGAGAAAAGATGGAAGGAGGGAGGGAAGACAAAATTTTATTTTCTTTCTGAATCGAGTGGCGAAGCAGAGGGACAAGGCACTGTGGGGGAAAGTGGAGTCTCACTGTGTTTAAACTACTATGCAAACAAAACAAAACAAAACAAAACAAAAGCAGCTTGCCTTATATCATTGTGGAAGGTAGGCCCTCGCCCAGACTCCCGGTTTTCCCCTGGAGCTGGGAGGGAGGCCAATGCTAGGGCGATCTCTCTCGCAGCCTCTGAGGGTGAGCACTGACTCGGGAGGGGGCGGTTCTGTCAAGGTCGGTAGTGAGGCCGGGGGCCTGCAAGGCCATGGGCCCACCTGACTGCTTGCTTTCTTGGGACCTTTGTGGGGTGGGAGGGGTCTTTTATTGCTCTGATGACTTGATGTTTTTCTCTCCCTTCCCAGCCAATGATAAGGGACTATAGATCTGTAATTTCTCTGTGAGAAAGCCTGAAGGGGGCCAGGCCTGGTATCCACCCCCTCCACAGTGGAGCTGGGTTCCTACCGCCTGCAACCATCTTGGTTGGTTCTCCACTGCCCCCAGTTGCCGCTGTTTGGCCACCGGCAGGCACTGGAAAGGGAGGGGGAGGGAGGCAGTGAGGGCTGCTGGCTAATCAGAGGAGGCAGGAGTGGAGCTGGAGTGAGAACCATCCTCTGTTCTGCTCACGGACATATGCAAGCCTGTTCCGTACTTCACTCGATTGACCGACCAGTGGGGAGTTAATCTGAGCCAGTATCTCCCCAAGACTTGGGTGGGCCTGTGTCGGAAGGCACTGTGTTGAGGCCACCTGCCAGATCGCAGCTTGGAGCCAGCCGAGCAGGTTTTGCTTTTTTTAAAAAAATTTCTTTTCGTACCCACTCTTGTGGGTGTGATTGCCGATTTTTGTTTTTTTATTGGCCCAGGAGCTCTCCCGGGAGGTCCAAGGGGCAAAATGTGCCCGAGGCCCAGAACTTCCCACCTCCTGCTCTCCTGTGGAGGCGGAGGAGGGACTCTGGCTTTAAATAGGATTGCAGCCCCCTGTCTTTCTTCCTCAGGGTACCAGCGACCTGTAAGGGCCTTCTCTGTCTTCCGTTTCCCCACCTGTTTTGCAGTCTTAAAACCATTGTACATAATACTCATATGATATATATATATATATATATACACACACACACACATATATATATATGGAGAGAGAGAGTGTATGTTAGTGACTGTGTGTAATTTTTATTTATCAGAACTTGGTGGCCTTTATTGTGAGTCCCCCCCCCCTTTTTTTTTTTTTTCTGTTGCGGTTGTCGCAGGAACCTGCTGGTTCCCTGTGGCAGTCTGGCCGAGAGGCTTCCATTCCCAAACAGTCCCTGGGTAGGTACGCGGAGGGACCATGGGTTCAGAGGAGAGACAGCCCCTTCCCCTCCTCCTCAATGACCCTTGTTCTAAAGGTTACAGGGTTCAAACATACCTGATTATTATTGTCATTAGTGTTATTGTTGTCTTAGTTTTAGTTTTATTGTAACCAAAGTTTGTTAGAGCCAGTCAGGCTTGGACCTCAGCTGCTGGAAAGATTTTCCGTTTCCGGGAGGACACGCCCCCCCCCCCTCAACCCCGGCCTCCTCTGTCCAGGGCTGAGGGGGGTAAGGGAATGGCGTGGTTTGGGAGGCAGAGCAGAGGTCAGTCCCGGTTGTTTCTCAAGGTGGTGGGGAGGGTGGCAGACCCATCTTTAGTGTTAAGACATAAGGCAGCAGTGTAAGTATTTGGAATTAAGGGGGCCTCGGCAGTCAGCGTTCGGTGGTATTATGTATGCTTTCCCCCTCATGTACATAGGACGTTTGCCTCTGGGACTGGGGTGCTCGAAGTTTGTCCAGGGAGTATGGAAATGGCAGGAGCCCGAGATAGACGCTGGCCGAGCGGCTCCTTCCTGCTGGTTTTCCATAGCTGCTCTCCCCTGGGGAGCAAGGATTGGGGCAGGTGGATGGGGCTGGGGGACGGGCAAGGGTGTGGCAGACCGGTCTCCTGGGTCTGAGCCCGGCTGCCTCTCGCTCTCCCCACCAAGTTCTTTTTTGAGTTTGTTGCCAGTGGGCCCTTGCTCGTGCCCCCGCCATGAGCCCACAGCTTGCCAAGAAAGACCCCAACGCTTGCTGGGGCAGCACCGGGTCCAGTTGGGATGAACTGGTCCGTCCTTTGTAAAGCTGTAAATACTAAAATTTCTATTTCTAAGCCCAGTGTCATATTGACATTGGTATTTTAAGGTTGTTCTCAGATGGGCTCTCCTGTGCTGCCCTCTCTCACTCTCCTATTTTTGGGGGTTTTATAAAAAGAGAGGATTGGGGAGGGGCAGGGAGAGTAACTTCCTTTTGGCTCCCTGGTTGTGGAAGACACATGCGCATGCACGCACGCACATACACACACACACACTCCTCTGAGACTCCAAACGGGGAAAAAAAATCATTGGCAAGTGAACACACTTTGTTTTCTTGTAGCAATATATCTTGAGGTCTTTGAAGGGCGGACTTAGCTCTGACCTACAGAGAAGCAAACCACTTTGGCTTGGAATGGGGGAGAGGGTGTGGGGTAGGGGGTAATATAAGGTGTAACTTAAGCTAAATGTAATGTATTTATAAAGTAAGAGATTCTCATCTATTTTTATGAGAGGAAAGGGTTTTTAAATTTAGGGTAGGCAGTTATGGTAGCCCAGCGTTGTCCTGTGAACAAGAAATGCATGTTGCTGCTGGACTGAATATAATCAGTGCCCCTCCACCTCCCTGGTCTCACCACCCACTCACCTGTACCCGTGAGTGGCTTCAGCAGAGCCTAGGTCCCACTTCACCCCATTTCCCTGTTCCTTGACCCCCCAGCTCCTTGGTCCTTGAAAGTCTCTGGCGGGGGGCACTTGTGGAAGTGGGTGGGCAGTGGAGAATTCAGAATTGAGGGGGGTGGGGAGGAGGGGAAAGGGGGCACCAGGTGGGGGACAAGCTCGGCTTCTGAGGGTGGGCTCTGATCGGTGACTCACGCTCTGGTCTGCCAAGGTCCATTTCCAAGTCAGCTGTGTTTGGGAGAAGTTGAGAAGCAGCAGACCGTGGGTGGCCGTGGGACTGTTGGTTCAGGGAGCACTTAGCTTCCTTGGGGCCTGGGCCCTGGTGGGTCCCAGGTGGTCAGGCAGTTGGAGCAGGAATGGAAGGGCCAGGAGATGCCCACCACCCAGCCCCAGCTGTGCCTACTCCAGGCCTCGGCCTGGGCTATAGTCCTTGATGTGCTCCTCCAGGGCCTGGGGCAGGAACCGGGGTGCTGGGACTTCCTCAGACCTGGGTTCACCATCTTGAGACACCGAGCTCTTGTTCTAGAAGGGCATTCTCCTGACGTGGGGAGTCCGGAGGCAGCTGGGTGGGTATGGGTAAAGGCAAATTCTCTCTGAAAGGGAATTTTCCTTGGCTGGAGGATTTCCAGGTTCAGGGTGGACTGTGTGTTGGTCTTGGGCAAATCCCTCACCATTCCCACTGCCGGGCCCTCAAAGAAACGAGGTAAGGCACCATCCCCACCCCCGGCAAGACCCCTTCGTGGACATTTTAGCATCTACCTGATTTTTAGCCCCATCCAGGGAGACTTTATATCCTGCAGTTCCATCCCACCCCACTGTTGCTGTTTGTCTGCCAGTTGGGTCTATTGTCAAGGGGGAAGGGGGGTTTATACTCACTGAAAGACTACTGATCCTACTGGAAACCAACCTGTTTACTGTACTGTTGTAAATATCATGCCCTTTATATCCTGTATATTGGCTTCTTTTAAATAAAGTGAAATGTCTTAGAATTGAGGGTGCTGCTTTTTTTTTTTAATTGAGGATAAAGTGGTGATGGGGGAGGGGCAGGAGGACTGAGGGCCACATAAACCCCAAAACAAAGTCATTAGCCAGTTGGTGATAAAATAGGGAAATTTCACATCCCCTGTTATATGGGCACCTGACGATGAAATCTTTGGAAGGCAACAGAGCAGGATTTATTATCATATTCACTTTACGGAAGGGGAAGAGCGAGCCAGAGAGATCACAGGCTGAGTAACTGGCATCCCCTGGTTTGCAGTTGAGGTCCTACTAATCATAAAGGCCCCCATTTGTTTAACCTCCTTTTATGGTGCCCTCGAGGGGCCACCTTCTGGGACTCTGGATTTGACACTGTCCAGTGTTCTAGTTTCTTCTCGTTAATGGCCAAATTCGGGGAGAACTGCCTCCTGTGAGCAGCCCTGCTCCCCACTAGGGTCTTCTGTAAGGAGACAGAGAGCTGCCAATTCCAGTCTATTTTTTACCATCTTTAAGACCTGTACTTGATGGAACTTCCTTTTCTCCCCACTCTTTAAATTCCCCAAAGTGTCTTAAAGGGTGTGACTTGGAGAAAGAGGAGTAGCATGAAATAATGCGGGCGATACCCCCCTTCTATAGAAATGGAAACTGAGGCCCAGGGAAACGAGGTATTTTGCCAACGTCCTAAGGAGGAACCACGATCAGCGTCCGCACTCTCACTCCTCAACAGATTCTCCGTTGCCCTTGGAGAAAGTATTAACAGGTAAATCTGAAGAGTGTTCTAAAAGCTTCAACTAGTTTAGGAATGGAATGAATCCCGAAGAGCCCGCCATCAGGAAGGCTTCAGAATCCGATACTTTAAAAGATTTATTTATGGGGCGCCTGGGTGGCTCAGTCGTTAAGCGTCTGCCTTTGGCTCAGGTCATGATCCCGGGGTCCTGGGATCGAGCCCCCCATTGGGCTCCCTGCTCCGCAGGAAGCCTGCTTCTCCCTCTCCCACTCCCCCTGCTTGTGTTCCCTCTCTCGCTGTGTCTCTCTCTGTCAAATAAAT